CTGGATTCAAAACGCGGCCCAATACCATGAGTGCTACACAGTTGTAACATGAATTCAAATTAGGCTTGGACAGACAAGCAGCATGTTGAAATACATGGGCCATCTCTGAGACAGCCTCATTACAGAGTGCACTTAAACACCGTGCCATATGGATTGCATCTTGGCATAAGCAGCAAAGGAGAAATGCCGAGGGGCGAGATGCCACCTGACCGGCCATCCTTCTTCATGTCCTTGGCGAATGGACAGGTGACTATAGCTAAGGCATTCTGCATTTGCTAAAAAGAAGAGTAGATCATCTACCCATATCACCTGAAAGCAGTGGAAAGCAGTGGAAAGCAGTGACATCCACACACACACACACCAGACAAAACCCAGAAACAAAACCTAGCCACCCTTTCATAGTAACAAATGACTGATGACAATTTTCCATCAGTTACCTCAAAAACACAGATGGTTCCAGAAATGCTAGGAAGTATTTAAAGAATTAAAACTCAATAAAATCAAAACTTGCAAATTTGCTCTAGTCCTGACAAGTATAGCAGTCAACAAATGTAAATAAAATGTTCCTATTACATAATACAACATTAAGGTATTTTTAATGGTCTAATTTGCGGTCAAAAAGCATCCATTTAAAATGATTCAAAATTACAGAAGCCAAGTATTACTGACTATCGGCTACTTAAAGCCTTAGGACAAAAATAAACTATAGAAACAATGGAGCACAAATTACTAAAGGAATGAAATTCCAAAATATTTCTGGCTAGTGAAGCATTTTTCCTGGAAGTATCATAAATGATTAAATTCTCCAAGTGTCCTACATCTTATCCATATTTCTCCTGTCTTTCAGCAAGTCCGTTACACACGTTTCATTGGGGCCAGGAGGTTTGCAGAAATGCAAGGAGGGACCATTTAATTAAAACTCTGTTTGTGCTGCACGCTTGGTACTTAGGAATAAATAAAAGTTAAGCATAAACCATTGTACAAAAATGGAAAAACAACCTGAATCCCTTAGCAGGCTTAGTCTACTCCAATTACACAGTCAAATACGTAAGTCTTGAAGTAAATTTTACTGTCTTTTCACCCCAGGAACACTAAAATTCAGCTTTACTTTTGTGTCCCCACCTGACATAACAGCATAGAAGTGACATATAAGCCACCAGGCTTTACAAAGGACCAGGGGGGGGGGCACTGTATCCGTCCTATAGAATAAACAAACCGAGTGTAGATTTATATAGCCAGAGCTCTTGACATGTATAGCTTGAATATTTAGCTATGTATATTTCACCACTGTCACTTCCTCTCACATTTACAAAAAAAACTTTTATGTACAAAACACACCTTTTTACCACGTCAAAACCATGTCTGTTTAATATCCATTTCCTCAAAATATTATTGACGTCATACTGCTCACATCATCATCATCCTGTTAACCCCTGAATTAATGCAAACTATTGCAGGGCTCACATTGGACTGCTATGGAGATAGGTCTCCTTTCCACTTCAGCACCTCACACCAACTCCCTGCTCCAGCCCGCATCCACCACATCCTCCAATCAGGGGCCTGACTATCGGCTCCTCTCAGGGCCATTCAACGCACTACCGTTCAGGGGCCTCAATCCAAACCAATATATGGCCTAAGTCCATAAAAGCAAAAAAGATTAGTTAGAAAAGCAAAAACACTCAACTTTTTATATGCTGCTGCTATATTTCTGTAGATGTTACAATGACACACATGAATATCCCAGACAACAAGCTCAAAATCAACAATCCTCAATTTCCAGTTGAAGATAAAAACTAGTCCTTCAACTCCTCAATATTTTGGACTTATGTTCCATTTCCATTCACTTAAACAATAATGACATTGTATGAAAAGCCATTCAGATATCATGTGTACAATCGTTGTGGGTGACTGCCGTACAGGATAAACCCATCAAACAGAAAAGTTCCACTGACAGGTTCCCCATTCCCATCCACATCCTCTCACTTTGGCGGCACCGTCAGCATGGCCTGCTTTGCATATTTTTCCCCTTAGGAGCACGAGTGGCCAGCGAGGAACTTGCTGACTCAGGCCAGCGTCCATCCCTTTCACTCTCACAACAGCGCAGACAGAGAAGGGCCCCTTTGTCATGCAAAGTGCCCACTTCCCTCCCCAGTAACCGCCGTCACTCCCTGCTACTCAAACAGTATGAAGAATCCCAACCTAAATGCAGCTGCATGGGGAGGCATGCACTCACTTATTTGTTATAAGAAATCAGAACGCTCTGAAACAAATATTTTATATTACATATTACACAGACACACATATGAAATACACACACAGACATACATATTATATATATATATATATATATATATACACACACACACACACACACACACACACACGTTGAGAACAAACTGGCACCAACACAGCTACTTATCTGCCTGCGCATCTGCACCAAACAAGCAGATCACTTATGAGTTAAAACAGTTTGTAACAGAATCCAAATCACACCAAATAACTACAGAAAAAAACAGAAGCCATAATCCTTCCATCTTCCTCATCCTGGCCAGGGTCACAGGAGTGGCAGGGGGGATATGGAGCCAATTTCTGGCAGCATATAGGGCACAAGACAGGGACACACTCTAGATAGGATGCCAGTCTGTCACATGACACACAAAAAGGCAATTTATAGACTCAATTTAACCTATAATTGCATGTCTAGAATAAACATGTAATACAGGGCAAACATGCGAGTACACAGACCAGGACTTGAATACAGGGGTGTGTAACAGGGTTACTGACTGAGCCACTATGCTGCCCCAGAGACAATCAGATAATACAGAAAGCATTTAAACTTAAAATGGAACAAGGAATGAAAAAGCCTCAAAATCCAGCTATACCTGTTCCTGTGGAATCTATGCTAACATGAATTATTCTCTATAGCAGATGCTTTAGAAGGACAAGCGACAACCCAAACAGCAGTAAGCCACAGAAACTTGACCTCTTCTATTAACAGTCTCCTTTAACTTACCGTGAAGTGACACATCGATCACTTGCTGTACAAACTCTTATAACCCCCCACGCGCGCACACATACATACACTATCCCATTAAAACATCGCATGGCACTAATTGCTGCCTGATTTCTTCCCATTACCCCCACAAAGCCATTTTGCTACAACGCACGCACCACGAACAGATACATCAAACTCGGGAAATTAAATACTGCGCCTATAAATAAAACAAGCACAAATTTAGGTCACGTCATATTTTGACATAAAAATGACTAATGGCACCCACGATTATTATTTAAAGAAAACAAAGGAAAACATAACACGCTCCCCGCCAAACCAGATATTCGTGAAGTTTAAGGACCTGGTTATGCTGCTGGATGTCAAAGGAAGTAAAAAATATCCGCCGGCTTACAGATATGCAATAAACGCAAACAGTTCTATAATTAGTTATTTTTTTCCTTCAAAAATACGTTTCAAATAGAAAACACCAGCCATTAACAAATATCACACCCATACTCATTTCGAATAAACAAAACCTAGATGCACACAAACACTGTGCGTTTTATTCAATCGGCAGCAAGTCAATAAACAGCTTCGGAATTAAAGTGCTTGGTGTAAAGTCTACTAAAGTCAAGATAACAGCAGAGAAGAAAAACGACAAACGTAAAATGTGCCCACTGTTTATTGTACGGGCACGGAGTGCAGGAAGCACCTGCTGCCGGGGATCGTGAAAGCAGACCATCGGATGAGCCGGGCACTTCCTCTATCACTCAGATTACTACGAACGACAACCGAAAACTGAACAGACACGGAACACTTGATGGAACGAGTTTCTCCAGTCGCTGTTTTATGGGAAGAAGGTCATGTATGATGACGGAAGACTTCTTCACTTTGGAGGTGGCGATAGCGGGAGACCCCTTTCAAAGCTTCCCACGCTGTTTTATTGGGTCACCCGTCGCTCTGTCCCACTCATGTATCCTTCCAAAAAAACGCGTATGAACTCTATACAACTAGTTAAAGGCGGGTTACCCGGTAAACAGCGATGGTTAAGAAGTTCAGCGGCACCGAACTTGGAGATGAGACCGGAGCTATTTACAGTCTTCGCACAGCAACAGCAAATCCAGCTCTGATCCCCGCGGCTATGGAGCCTATCCGGCCGGTTGGGAAGTTTTGTTCCAGGCTGCACTTACGGGCTAATACTCGCCCATCGATTACAACGCGGCCAGCATGGGGCATACGGCGCAGTGCGAGCTGAGAGGCTCGTCCATGTGGGCTTTTCTTTACAGGGAAACTGGGCTGTGAAGGGGGACAAGACGGTGCGGGTCGCCCTCAACTTGGACAGGCAACGCAGGATGGCAGAAGGCCACCGGAGACACTTGATGTATTGACGGTCCAAAAGAAAGACAAAAAAAACTTCCAGGAAACTTAAGCAAACCTTTAGAAACATAAGTGTTACAGAGAATTAGACAAAAGTTGCTGGCCCGCTACCGTGGCGACCCCCTCTTCCAAGGCGCCCGCCCGCAGATTCATGTTGGCATTCTTGCCAAATGCAGCGGTTTTTCTCTCGGTACAAGCGCCTGATAAATAATTCAAGTCTGCCGTAGGAGCCCGCATCAGAGATGCTCCCACGACTGCGGGCTTTTAAAAAATAAACCAATAAAAAAAATCCCTCGTCGTGACAGCAACCATCACACCGGACGAATGACGAAGATACCCCCGCGTGTGACACTTTCGCAGGGCAGTCACCGTACTGTACACACACATACATCCATGCATACATACGTGCGTGCGTTAGCCGCCGCTAACAGCCTGTCGTAGTGTTACCGGAGGTTATCTTATTCAGTCTCCGCTGTCCTCCCACTGAAAGCATTTTTATAACAAAAACAACATCACCACAGAGCAACTTCCTCACAAAGTGCCACCGGAATGATGTGTAACACGTTCGTTTCCCCCAAATTTCACCACATTTAGCAGCAAGGCAGAAGTATTACACGTATTTAATTACCTCGGTCGAGCTACTCCGGTCCCCGTTTAACGTTACCTCCAGTCAGGCAGCCCCCTCTCTCTCTCTCTATCTCACACTCACTCACCCTCTCTCGCTCTCCTTCTCCCCCCACTGGTTAGCGCGTAGCCCTGGTCACATGACGCGCTAGGCGCAGCCGATTGGCGGACGTGCAGCCGATGAGGTTACCGGCACTCCCCTCCCCCTTGCACCTGCGACAGCCGAGCCGGGGGGACCGAGTGCGATCGCAGTGATCGCTTCGGCTGGACTCGGTACGCGATACCTGGCCGTTGGTGCCGGTGGCCCGCGGGGGCGAAGCGATGCGCGACGGAAACCGCTGCGGAAAGGCAGCGTGTTTTGCGCCGCCAGCCGAATACGATTACAGCACGGATGGTGCAACTAGGGGGACAGAAGAAGAACATGTTTATCCACACATTCAGAATTTGACATATAAAGCCGCATAGCTGTAATCTTTATTTAAAATCATTTGCAATTGTATATCATATTTTTTTTCGTTTCATTTATATATCCGGTTTCCCCGAGTTTTATTTTTTATACTCTCCTGTATTAATAATTTTTTTAGGCCTGTTCATTTTTCCACCTAGAAAACATTCTCTATTTGAAACATTTCTTAAATGCCATAGCATATTGGAGTACTTCAAAGCACACATTTGGAGGTCATGTATGAATTCTTTAACTGAGATAATTATTCAGAACGTTCTGTTTCTGTAATTTCGGCATGAAACGTTTGATAGTTTCAGGGAATGTCATTTTGGAATGTAAAATGCATCTGGTTCTCTAACAGTGGGTTTGATACCTATTGAGTTTATGTGACTCAACCTTTGGATATTCATTGACATTGATTCAGTCATCCATTCAGGACAAATCCATCATTATTTTCCATCTTTTTCTTGGCATTGCTGGTTCCTGTGCAGATCATAATACCCTCTAGAAGAAATGATTAGACCTACTTGTCACTATTTCTTTGTCCCGTGAACAATATTGTAATTGACATATTGGTCAATCATGGAATGTTTCTAAGACCAAAAAGTTCAAACATAAATTTTCCTCTTCTGATTCACCTTCTTGCATTCAATATCTTTTGGCATTTCTGCTGTGCAAAACCGACCTCTTGTTTCTCTAGGAAATTACTGGATAAACTACAAGAATGCAATGAGTATGAAATGTTGAAATGAAAAACAATTGCATACGTATCTATCCATTAATTTTCCACACTGTTTATCCAGGACAGGGTCTGTGAGCCAGGAGTCTATCCCAGACCCCACAGGGCATGAGGCAGGGGACAACCAGGACAGGGTCTGTGAGCCAGGAGTCTATCCCAGACCCCACAGGGCATGAGGCAGGGGACAACCAGGACAGGGTCTGTGAGCCAGGAGTCTATCCCAGACCCCACAGGGCATGAGGCAGGGGACACCCAGGACAGGATGACATATTTGTCCTTGTCGTAGGCTTAGTTTCAGAGAAGTGCTTCTCTAGATAAGTATTTGAGAAACCAGCGAAATAAGATTCCATTTATTCTCAGAAAATGGCAAGAAATAAATAGTGCTTATGCTTTAGTGGACCAACAGAATGATAATCCAGTTTTTTTCTGTTAAATCAATATCTATTACAATATCAGTTTCAGACATCTTCATTCTTTAGAAAAGAAATAGAGGTGAAAATAAAATCCCCCAAGATACTGAGCATATACAAACAATAGAATATGTCAAAATATAGAAGACATGCACCATAACAAGTATATCGGATTAATTTAGGTGGAAGGCTAGAAGAAATTATCATTAATGACATCATTAAGTAAAGATGTATAGATTTTACAAACAAAATGTTCTGTTTGTTTTTAATTTAGATATGTTAAATTCCAGTCTGGAATTGATCAAGTCTCAGTTCAAATAAAATGAAATACAAGTGAACAGTGTTTATTTTGTGTTTAATACAATTCTTATATATTCTGTGAAATGAGACAAGACACTTGCAAAAATGCATTAAAATGAGGCATTTGCTGAGTTCTGGAGTTGTTTCCGAGGTAACTTAAGTGTAGGGTGTGACTCTGTGAGACATGTTGGCAGTCTTGCGTCTCTTGTCATCCTGCATGCCACAGAAAATGACATGTCTGTGTTCAGATATGCAGCCTGTCTCAAAATATGTCGCACAAACTGGTTATGTCTTAATTCCTTCCCTGTTTTAAATTCAGAACACTGCTTCCTAATTTACTTATTATATGTTGTTTTCATACCAACCCTATTACTACTCTTCTGTATTATCATAAATATCCAGGCACATATTTATTGGCCTATATACACCAGATGAATATTAAATTTCCATCGGCATACTAGAATTTTACATTTTATATGTGAAGAGGATATATATGTTACTACTGCATCCAATCAGCACTCTCAGTTCTTGTACCCAATCAGAATGCACCCTCACTCACCTGTATGCAGGAGACACCTGCAACCTACCTCCTATTTACTCTGACGGCGATAGACCGCACTGATTCGATACCTTTGTCTCCTCCTTGTTGAACTGTACCTAGCCTTTATAGTCCCGATTGCTGGTTGTGAAAATTCAGACCGTGCTTATGGATTGTGATTTGGATTTTTGTGTATATATGTCACTCTGGATCACTGGTGATTTAGGCTTGTCACTTGGCCACATTCCTGGGATCCTGTTTTGAACCTGTTTTTCCAGATCTCGATTCATTAAACCACAACTCTGGCCTTGGATCTCCAATCTTAATCACGATGGCGTATCTAAAGCATTTCGGGTGAAGACCCGGACTGGCGGGCAGCGGTAATACTGTGGCCACAGCTCTCCTTCCCAGCTTAGAATCAGGTCAAAGGGATGCAGGCAGCCATCATTTTGAACATCATGGCTTAAGGTGGACAGAAGCTGCCGGACACAGCTGGCCTTGAGTCCAAAATATCAGCCCGCATTCTCCCTACCTTTCTGCTCCATACCACAAATGAGGCACAGGATTTTTGGGAGACCATGTGCCGTGTCTATTTTAAAAATCCCACAAAATGTCCTTGCTAGTAAAGAGCATGTATTGAGCAGAAGAGAGAGGCATGTGGGGAATCAGCGAGATAACGCTGCAGAACATTAAAACATTCAACACGCATCATAAATATTAGTCTAGATGTAAGATGTGATCAGAGTAACATCACAACAAAAAAGATTATATATGATACCTCGCAATTCCAGCGACTCTGGTTGATTTTATAATGTAAACCTTCCAGGTTCCATATCTTAATCCAGTGACATCACATTATATATATGATGCTTAACGCTCACGCTGAGTCACAATATGTTTCAGGCTGTTTTGAATTTGCTTTTGTAGAACAGTATATATCCATCCACCCAACTATTTTGCAACTGCTTGTCCTGCACACGGTCATGGGAGAATATTGTGTTTGTGTTACTTATCAGTCATGAATAGATTAATACTCAGCACCCTTAACAAGGATGGGGAATGTGACAGAAGTTCAGCACCCTGTCTAACACTGACCTCAAGCTGCTGCACACGGCCCTAAGTTAGACTTCTGAGGGTCACTGGCTGACAAAAAGGAGAGAGAAGCCGCACAGATGGTCGGCTAAATCTAATGCCCTGCAGGAGACTCGAGCCGGACACCCAATATGCCTCACAGGACTCGTACTGAAGCATTACATACATAATATGAGTGGAAGGAAATTTGATGTTACTCTGCTAACACTCCAAAGAACAATAGGTCTGGGTGAATTTCCTCTGGCTTTATGTATATATATCTCTAATGTGCTCTTTCAGCCAGCTGGATCCGCTCCTCATTGGCCGAGCCTTTGCCAGGCTGGGTCCAGGCGGGCTGTCGGGCCCTCGGGGTGCGGACCAGCCTGAGTGACCGGCGGGTGTCTCGGCACCTCACGCCAGCAGGCCGGTCACCCTAAGGTCCTGTCGTTCTCGCGGGCCTGTAGGGGGCAGCGTGATATGAGAGGCAGCTGCTCCGGAGTGCGAAGCCGGAGGGGGGGGGGAGGGGGTGGACTCTATTGCATTCATACCAACGCTTGGCCCCCGCTCAGCCCTCGAGTAGATAAAAGGTGCTGAGGCTCAGGTTTTTCCCGCGTATCAGGATGCTCCGTAGCAGACTGCGGCCTGGCTCCCGTGGCTTCTTCGCCAAGGGGTTCCAGCAGGGGGAGTCACCTCGCCATCTGGGCTCCATGACAACGTGCACCAGGGCAACGGTTGGCAGACAGTGGAGCACGCGTGGAGTGGGCACCAGGATCGTGGCGGCCAATCAGAGGAGGCGGGAGCGGCGGAGCGGGCGGCGTGGGGCGCCAGCATGTGAAACGAGCATATGCGGGGGAGACGACGGGCAGGTAGCTCTGCCAAACCCCTGCCCCCGCCAGCCCCCCCATCCATTGTCATTCCTTCCTCTAATTTGACAGGAACAGTATGTCAACATCTTTCCCAGCAGCCCTCATTTATTTACCATGACAGCTGCCCGAAATGTGGGGCCTCCTCACTGCTCGTTCCATTCATGAAGCTCGCGCACTTCTGGAAAGGAGACACATGAGCTGGCGGCTGTGAGGACTGTAGCGGCCTGGGGGGAGCGTCTTAAACTGAACGCGCAGGAAGGCACCGTGCGTGTCCATAACTTCAGGAGTTCGCATTTGCCTATCAATTATCTGTCATTCTAGACATTTGGAGTCTACAGCGTGTGCGCGTTGGTTTAGGAACTGTTCTGTGTAAGTGTTCTGGAATTGGTTAGTTAGGCTTAGGTGTTTGCTGAATAAATATGTATATACTTTATTGCAGGGTGCAGATGTCATTCTAGACATTAGGAATCTGCAGAACAGACAGCAAACTGAACATGTAAGTTACTGTGTCGGTGTATTGCTTTTGGAGCTGGTCAGAGGCGGGTCCAGAGAGTAAAATCCAGACCAGGATTTTGTTTCAACCAACCAAAGAGCATAAAGAGTGACAGTCAGAGAGTATTCAGCTGGTTGGTTGAAATAAAATCTTGGTCTGCATTTTTACTTCATGGACCTGAACTACCCACCTCTGGAGCTGGGCTATTAAATATCTATAATCAGGCATAGATGTTCAGGCATCAAATACG